ACGGAGTGGACAGGGGGGGCACGTACTGGGGAGTTTTGTGGGCTTGGGGGGATCAAACGTAATTTTATTGGGAGTTATTTTGGGTGTTAGGCGTACTTAAGGGTGGTTGAATATTGAAGGTTGATGGGAATAAAGGTGGATGGTGGGGGTGGGGGGGGTGGGGGGGGTTATCTATTCTGTTGATCGGGGGGGGGGGGGGGGGGTGGGGGGGGGGGGGGGGGGGGGAGTGGGGGTGGGGGGGGGGGGGGTTTTAGGGTTGGGGGATTGTATTTGGGGGGGATTCTTTTTTGGGGGTTTTTTGTGTTGGAGGGGTAGGGGTCTTTTAGTGTGGTTTTTGGGGGTGTGGGGTTTTTTATGTCTTTGGTGGGGGATGACAATTGTCAGGAAGGTTTGATAATTGTGTTTTCTTTATTTTAGAACCACCGGCAGCAGTCAATGACAAGCAGCACATTGTAAATATCTACATTATTTAATACATAAGTTAACAAGAGAATTCAATTCTGCCACACAGGAAGTGTCCTCTGCTAGACTTCCTATAGATATGAATAAAACATGTAGCCACAAAAAAAAAATCCACAGGGCTTCATACTGGAACTGGAAGGCTCAGTGAATCCATTGTGTGTGAACAGGAATCGCACATAACTTCCTTTCTCCAGCGGTTGCTAGGAGCTCTGTGAGCAATCCACAGTTTCTGACCCCTACGAGTTGTGCCACAGGATCACGTGGCTTCCTCAGGGGGATATATAGCATATTCCCTTGAGGAAGCCACGTGACCCTGTGGCGCAATGCCTAGGGGAGGGGCTAGATGACATCACAACGCTTACTACGCAACTACCGATTCACTGTCACAGCAGATGAGTGGAAAGAGTTTTTATATCTATGCATGTGGTTACAATGTTGTTTTTTTATGTGCATTTATATATGGTATGATTAGCACCTAAAGAATGTGTGGAGTGGCCACTGTTTAAGTTTTTAATAAAATAGTTTTATTTTAAAAGGATAAAGCACTATTGTGTTTCCCATCTTTTATATCATCTATGTAGAGTGGAGGAGGAGAGATTTAGAGAGTGGTGATCTCTGGAGGAAGAACCTGCACTCTGGATACTTTATACCCATACATGTCTGCTTCTTGGGACACATGCACTATATATTTATTTAATTTTCATGCACATGTTAGGAGTATGTGGCTGGTGTGAGCTGCTTTCATGAGTTATAGGTGATTGATTTAAATATTGATATTTTTCAGCTTTTAAGTACTCCTCTCCTTCCATATTTGGCATGCAATTTTTTTTTTTTTGAGGGGGGAAGAGTGGGTACCTAGTTTTGACTGGTACCCGCTCCCACTTCTAGCTCAGTTTGCCACAGCAAACTGAACCAGAAGTTTGGCCCCTCTCCTTAACCCCCCCCCCCCCCCCCCCCCCCCCCTGTCTTTTAGGACATTTCACAGGTTCCAGAAGACTGCCAGACCATTCAGGTTTGACCCACACATGCGCAGTGGGCACCCAGCTGTGAAGCTGCACGCTGACCAGTGCCAGTAGAGAAAAGGGATGGCTCGGGTGAGCAGGTTGCTCAATCCTGGGACAGGTGAGTGTGTTTAATAAAAGTTAGCAGCTACAGTTTTTGTAACTGCTGACTTTTGATAAAAAGTTGAGTCCCATGAAATGAACTGCAGCATGTATTCACATCAAAAGGACTGTCCAAATCGTCAAACCACATTAGCCATACAAAGGTCTTTATGCAAAAGTTAAGATGAGCGTAGGGTATACACATTTGCAAATTATAGCATTGTTAACCCTTAACAAAATGTTAAACAGACCCCATCAGGATTGAAATGCTTACATGCTTTTTAGGGGTAAGTGCTAGTAGGATGGCCATACTTATGTGCGACACCTAATGAGTTGTGCACTCACAACAAGTATGTAGCTAGAGAGATTGGAACATGAGTAAGATGGTACTGCAACCTGCACCTAAAAGGGTCCATGCACACTGTACTTTTATTTTAAAAATAAATAACTCCAGTTACCTTGCCGTAAAACGCTGTAGAAAAAAAAAAAACATTCATATTTAGCATTTTTTGTGCCAGAGTTTAGCTGCGTTTAGGGTTTTTTTCTGCCAGAAAAATGCTCAAAAACGTAAACCAAAAAGGTTTTTTGTTTTCTGCAGATAACCACGAAGCTTAAAAAAATGTCTCTAGATAGGCCCTACCTAATGTGCATGGACATATAGGATACTGAAAGTCAGATGTTCTAATTCTTACTCACAGGGCCGGAGCTAGACTATTTTGCACCCTAGACAAGACCAGCTACTTTTGCCCCCCCCCCCAAAAAAAAGTTGAAAATACAAAATCAACAAACATGAAGCTGCTAGACTTTTTTAATTTGCAAAAGTGCCATAAGATGCCACCAGCACCAAATGTTAAAGACAAAATATATATTACCCAAATATAAATAAATAACTGTATTAACCAACCAGAGAGAAAAAAAGGCAGAGTTACAAAACTCCACAGTGATCAGCAGCCACCAGCTGGATTGCAGTATGTGACAGAGTCTGAGAGGAACACTGGAAGGAGCGGGAACTCAGCTGCTACACTGGCCCCAGACACCCAGCATCTTTAATTCCTCCCCCTCTGCCGCCTCTCACCTCAGCTAAAAGATCATTCATGATGCGGCGGCGTCTCACATTATCAATCAGCATCCGCTCCCCTCACCCCGACCATTGCCCACCCCCTCCTGTCATCTCCATGACCCGCCATCCTCCTAGGCTCGGCTCACCTATGACAGCTCCTGCCAGGGTGCGGAGTCCAGGCTGTGGCTCTCAGTGAGAACAAGTGGACTCCCAGCACTACATCGCTTCCTTCTCATACACATCGGGCCCTGATAATCCTACTCACATAGGGTTGTCTCTGCAACCAGAGCACACCCCTGCCTAATGATTGGCTCCAGCTGTGAAAAAAGGCGGCGCCAGCGCTGGACATGCCCCACTTGGTCACTAGCTGGCTCCCTGTTACAGCTGGAGGATTGTGTGTGCCAGCGTATGTACTGCAGATGTACAGACCGGTCCTCTGATCAGAGGCTGCTGACCACCCGGGGTTCTGGGCTAATGTCATCTCTTCCCATCCTGGGGAGAGCCGACACTTCACTGCTACATGGAATACTGTTGTGTGTATATATGTACTAAATGGTCATGTGTGTAGACAGGCTGTGAGACAATTGTGCAGAGATCATTCCCTCATCATTCCCTGTCTATGAGGAGAGGGGGATTAAGAATTCATACAAGAGGTCCATAGGTCACAGTGTGCTGGCCTGTGTTGCACCCAGGCACCCCTAGGTGGCAGCGTACCCTAAGCGGCTGCCTTGTTTGCCTAGTGGAAGCACAGACCCTGCTTCCTCCCTTTACTAAAATGTGTTTTCCTCAGTCTCCCATCACTTCCTGTCCTGACTGGAAGTGAGGGAAAATATCCAAAATAGGTACAAATACAGTAATAAAAATGTATCAGATGCTTTAAACCTTTTCCACTTTATCCATGACAAAATGAAGTTTTTGCTCGAGTTGAGCTTTAATAAGAGTGATACCTTCACCAGTGAGTACCCTGGCCGACCATTCTGCAAGCTCCAATTCAAAACCATTTACATCTTACATTTACATGCAACTATGAGGATTTAGCAAACACGGTAGTCAGAAGCACTGAAGATGAATGCCAGGGTAAAATTAGAATCTGAATTCTGAAAAGGCAATAACAGCACCACACCAATGATCATAGAGTATAAGCTGATTTTTAATCATTTGATATCAATATAAAGGCACTCCTACTTCGTGTTAAAACACACACACAAGAACACAGGAACTGTACCATGTGGTCTGAAGTAGGATGAGTGCCCAAACCCCCAAAATGCACTGAAATTAATCATAAATTATTATTAATAATAATGCATTAAAATAATTAAGGAAGAACTTCATCCTCACCCACTATTTTTTTCCTCTTGTTACTTGATGCTGTGTTCTGCACAGTAAAGATATTCACCCATAAAGTGGAACCAGCGTTGTCCAGCTAAGATCCTCTCTTCTGCTGCCACTGCTCAGGTTCCACACCACCATCTTCTCCTGGAATGTCATCAGGAGGCTTCCCAATGATGAACCGCTAGACTTGCGCCCCCCCCCCCCCCCCCCTGGAATGACAACTGTAATGCTCCCGATTCCTCCTGGGATATGCATATCACAGGAAGCAACAGGGGCACTGATGTCATTTGCCTTCGAGATTTGGGAGAACAAGGGATGGGACTGAAACTGCTAAATAAATAAGATGTGATATTTGTGTAGGAGGGAGGGGTTGTAGAGGAGCAAACACTTTAAGGGTGAAGATCCGCTTTAAAAAATCAACATCACGACCATTTGTGTGGAGCATGCATTGCCTCTTCAATTCATGGTCTTGGATTCTACCCAGGGTGCCCCCTTATAAAATGTCTTGTTTTGGTAAGGCCAAGCTTACCAGAGCCAGTGGGCTCTAAAAAAAAAGTCACTCTTAACCATGGAGGACGTTACTATCTCAAAGATCCAGTGCCTAACAGGTCTTTGTTTGGCTAGGATTGTATCTTTAGGATTAGCTGTTGTGTGTATACCTGAACAAGGTCCACTGTAAATGAGCTTAGGAGCTCTGCTGCTCATGTTGTTTGTAAAGCATTCTTGACAGATGTGGAATGCAGTGTTTGAATTTCGAATTAATACAGCACTTGTTTTATAGTTGCTTTTATTCCCCCAGACAAGTCAATGTAAATGGATTCCAATTATGTGCTTCACTCATCTCAAATTGATCTCAGACTGACATCAAACACTAGGCCTTTATTTGCATCTGACTTGCATCCATAAGGCATGTGCACTTGGTCTCATGCAGCTCTCCCCTATGAGGGGTACCGTACATTCGGTGCAATTCTAACAGGTAATAAGATCAGCAGAATAGGGCAGGACCGGCTTTGTCTTTGCCTGTCATTTTCTTGGCAAATTACCTCGTCTTTTGGCTTGGGCCACCATCTCCTCATACTCTTGTCGATGCTTTTGGGCTTCCTCTGCTGGTTTGGCTGGAAGGTTTCTGTAAAAGTCATAATGATGCTTGGTTAGCCTAGGTATGTCTCAACATACTGACCTGCAATTATGTTCATACCTACCCAATAATGATTCTCAACAGCTAGTATATACAGTAAGTAACCATATTAGAGTGACAGAACTGCCAAATAGTAAATGCTAGGAACCCAAAACCTTTCATACAGGACATAAAACTCAGCTGGCCAAAGACTAACTACTAAAACAAAATACAACAAATAATTATACCATGTTACTGTAATATTTATAGGACGTTGAAGTTAGAAGTAATAAAAGGATTAATAGCACTACATTAAGACAAAGGTTAATCAAAACTGCAATTTACAGGGCAAGCCAACATTCTAAACAAAGCTGTCTGCTCAGGTACTGAATTTTTCCTCATCATAAAACCCCAGTCACATACACGAATACATCCCAGAAAGCCAATCTATGTCTAGTTCATAAATCCATCAAAAATTCACAACATCATATCCTTCAGCGGTAATGTAAATTCCAGTTTGTAGAGCTGTAGTCAGTGATGGAAGACTAACGCTGTAAAGCAAAGTCCTGTTCAGAGACCAAGGCAGCCATGTACAAATGTACCTCATACAGTATACAATTTTTCTGTGCTGTAGCAATGTGTGCCTCATTTATCCGAATTTTTGAAGAACGCACTTGCAATCTGTGTTGCTGATAGCAACTACATTTCCCCTCCTTCCTCCATACCACAGTGGGAAAATCAAATTGGCTGCAATTGGTAATGTAGAAAGTCAATTCTTATCATACAAATCGTGATAAATGAAGCCAATTGTATCATAACTCCATGCGATGAAAAATATGGTTGACAAATAAATGTAACTATGTGGCACCAAATGTATAACGTATGCAGGCAGGGTTATTCAATAACACACACAGCACTATGAAAACTGCAGTGATCCATAGCAACCAGTAAGAACTCTTTTCAGTGTTTTGAATGGATAATATGAGGATCTATGCGATCTGCTGCTGCAATAGTCTTCTGGCCAGACTTTGCTTCTTTTGCACATATGAAGAACAGTCTCTACGCAATCCAATGTTGAGGCCGTTATATCTTGAAATGCCAAAGCGATAGTTTTTTTTCCATAGAAATGAATGGAGATTCACATGTGCAGGAAAGAATAAGCCCAGTAGGGAGACTTCTGAAGTAGTACATAAAAAGTACAGCTATCCTGGCCTCATGTACACTGCACATTCTTACAGCTTCTGTTTTGGGTGTCAGGCGTTTTTTTTCCTACAGCCAGTAAACTCCCCGACACACACATTATTCTTTGTGTTCATGCACACATAGGCTTTTAGCAGCGTTTTTGCGGGGGCATTTTTAGGCTGGAAAAGAGGAGATTTTCAGTTGTAAAAATGCTCTAACGCTGCAAAAACATGGCTATTTGGTGTTTATGAGCCTCAAGCTTTTGTGGGAGTATAATTTTGCTAAAAAACACAAAAAGCTGAAAAAAAAAAAAACCCTAAAAAAAAAAAAAAAAAAAAAAAAAAAAGTGACAAAACTTGTGTTTTTAATGTGTCAATCTATAGCGAACGCTACTGGTGTTTTTAGAACGTCTGGTGTGCATGAGGCGTTTCCCCAGGTTTCCTTTAATTAAAAACATTGCTAGTACAGACAATTACCTGCTGATTTGAGCTTTCCCAGCAAAATAGTGCTTTTGCCTTGACCCCTAATACTATCTGTACACAGTGCAGGGAAAAGGCGGTTATGTGAAGCAGTTTTGGGGGCATGCCTATGTTAATAGGAACTGAGCTCCCAGTACATGCCCCTACAAGAATTTTACAAGCCTGGGTATAATGTTGCAGGGAGTAATAAAGTAATTTCTCACTACAGGTAAACAAAAAAAAAAAAATAATGCTCTAGAAAGGGGGAAGGTGAGAGGGAAGTCTGGGGGGAAAATACGGGTAAAATCGGGACAAAAACAAACTATAACTAAAGGCAAAACCTTCTTATTTTTAGGTTTGGATGGAGTGGAGATGGATTACAATGTCTGTTAGTTCTTATTGCTGTCTGTGCCACCGTTAGGGAGATTCACCTTTTCTATTTGTTCTTTTTACCATCATTGAAAGTGAAGAAAATCCCAAATTTTGGGTTGTCCCCAGAAAAGTAATAGAGGGGAAATCTTCCAATGGGGACACTAGTTTTGGTGCTCTGGGGGCCCAAGGGATTCCCTGAATTTGCAGGGATTTCCTCTCACTTCCTGTTTGGCTATGGGACAGGAAGTGAAGGGAAATCTCCAAAAACGGTACACCGATGACGGGGAAAAAAAAAAAAAAAAAAAAAAACTGGCAGAGGTTAAAACCCTCCCTTGCTCCCTCCAAAATGGAAAAAAAACCAATTCTGCCTATAGTTCTACTTTAAGTTGTTGGAAGTGATAAGGAAGCAAAAGGTGCATATGATCACACATTTTTTAGAACACGATTAAAAGAGCCAAGAACACAGTCTACCTTCCCCAACTTCCATCTTCAGAGTATAAGATTTACCAACATATTATTGCAGTCAGCTCCCAAACTTACGACTAGAATATTATTTGAAAAGAATACATCTCCAGATCTAAAATTCACCTAACACGCTAAAAAAGGAAAAAAAAAGGCCTAATGCCATACTGGACATATTTTCAAAAAAAGACACCTTAACCACTCACATACCCTCACACCCTTTGAGACCTTATGTTCCTCACTAGATCCAACCGCCCACTTGACAGCAATAGTATGTATGTTGCTATGACCCAAATAACATCTCCCAAAGATCTCTCCTACTCCTGGGAACAGGAAGGTGACCTTGATCAAAACTTTATACCCGAAGAATGGGCAAATCAACAACATATCTTTTAAATGCTCCATTAGTGTCAACATCCAGGAAACCAATGAGCTCAAGTCCCATTGGCACCGAACCACCACAGTGCTAAATCAAATCATCTGCGGATATCCCAAATATGTGATGGAGATGTCAAACTGAAGGGCACCGTCATCCACATATTGTTTCTGCTGATCAAGCCATTTTGGAATGAAGAACACTGCATCATCACCACAATAACTGACATCTCATTGTCCTTTTACCTACAGTGAAGGGAATAAGTATTTGATCCCCTGCTGATTTTGAATGTTTGCCCATTCATAAAGAAATGATCAGTCCAAAAATTTGAATGGTAGGTGTATTGTAACAGACAGAATAGCAACAAAATATTCAAAAGAAATGCATGTCTAACAAATTATGCACGGATTTGCATGTTCATGAGGGAAATAAGTATTTGATCCTCTATCATTCAGCAGGATTTCTGGCTACCAGGTGTCTTTCATACAGGTAACAAGCGGAGATTAGAAGCAGTCTCTTAAAGGGAGTGCTGCTAATTTCATTTTGTTACCTGTATAAAAGACACCTGTCCACAGGAGCAATCAAACAATCAGATTCCACTCTCCACCATGGCAAAGACCAAAGAGCTGTCAAAGGATGTCAGGGACAAGATTGCAGACCTACACAAGGCTGGACTGGGCTACCAAACTATCGCCAAGCAGCTTGGTGAGAAGGTGACAACAGTTGGTGCAATCATTCGCAAATTGAAGAAACACCAAACAACTGTCAGTCTCCCTAGGTCTGGTGCACCATGCAAGATCTCACCTCGTGGAGTGAGGAATCATCCCAGAACTACACGTGAGGATCTTGTCGATCTCCAGGCAGCTGGGACCACAGTCACCAAGAAAACAATTGGTAACACACTACTCCGACAAGGATTGAAATCCTGCAGTGCCCGCAAGGTCCCTCTGCTCAAGAAAGCACATGTCCAGGCCCGTCTGAAGTTTGCCACTGAACATCTGAATGATGCAGAGGAGGACTGGTTGAAAGTGTTGTGGTCAGATCAAATCAAGCTCTTTGGCATCAACTCAACCCGGAGTTGATGCCAAAGGAGGAATGCTGTCTATGACTTCAAAAGCACCATCCCAACTGTCAAACATGGTGGAGGAAACATTCTGCTTTTTGGGGGTGTTTTTCTGCCAAGGTAACAGGACAACTGCACCGCATCAAAGGGATGATGGACGGGGCAAAATCTTGGGTGAGAACCTTCTTCCCTCACCCAGGGCATTGAAATGAGTCGTGGATGGGTGTTCCAGAATGACAATGACCCAAAACACACAGCCAAGGCAGCAAAGGAGTGGCTCAAGAAGAAGCACCTTAAGGTCCTGGAGTGGCCTAGCCAGTCTCCAGACCTTAATCCAATTAAAAATCTGTGGAGGGAGCTGAAAGTTCGATTTGCCAAACATCAGCCACCAAACCCTAACCACCTCCCGCCCGCCATATAGTAATATGACGGATGCAAGGTGGTTCTCTCGTTCTGGGAGGACGTCCTCCCATTCTCACCACGCATGCGTGGCTCAGGGAGCGCGGCAATTGGCGGTGCGCTGTGTCCCTCGGACACAGCGGATCACTGATCATGGAAAGAGCCGAAGATGTCGGCTCGGTCATGTGATCAGCTGTGTCCAATCACAGCTGATCACATGTAAACAGGGAAATGCCGGTTATCGGCATTTCTCTCCTCTCGAGCTGTCACGCTGACAGCTCGAGAGGAGAGCCGGTAATCGGCTTTCCGCGGAGGGGACATGTACACTGATCATCAGGGCACTGATGATCAGTGTGCCCCGATGATCAGTGTAGCCCCAGCAGTGCCACCTGACAGTGTCCATCAGTGCCTTGTGTCAATGCTCATCAGTGCCTCGTGCCAGTGCCCATCAGTGCCACATATCAGTGCCTACCAGTGCACATCAATGCCACATATCAGTGACCATCTGAGCTGCCCATCAGTGCCATGTATCAGTGCTGCCTTTCAATGCCCATCAGTGATGCCTGTCAATGCCCATCAGTGCCACCTACCATTGCCTCCTTATCAGTGCCCATCAGTGCCACCTATCATGCCCATCATCGCAGCCTCTTTAGCGCATATTAGTGAAGGAGAAAAATCACTTATTTACAAAATTTACAGAAACTAAGAAAAAATGTTTTTTTTTTTTTTTTAAAACAATTCAGTGGTTTTTGGTTTAAGAAAAAAAAAAAACCCAGAGGTGATTAAATACCACCAAAATAAAGCTCTGTCACAAAAAAATGATAAAAATTTCATATGGGTACAGTGTTGCATGACCGCACAATTGTCAAAGTGCGACAGCGCTGAAAGCTGAAAATTGGCCTGGGCAGGAAGGGGGTATAAGTGTGGTTAATGACTTGGAGAGGATCTGCCAAGAGGAGTGGGCCAAAATCTTTTCTGAGATGTGTGCAAACCTGGTGGCCAACTACAGGAAACGTCTGACCTCCCTTGGCAAGGAATTTGCCACCAAGTACTAAGTCATGTTTTGTGAAGGGGATCAAATACTTATTTCCCTCATGAACATGCAAATCAGTGCATAATTTGTTAGACGTGCATATCTTTTGAATTTGTTGTTGCTATTCTGTCTCTCAGTGTTGCAATACATCTACCATTCGATTTTTAGACTGATCATTTCTTCGTGAGTGGGCAAACATATAAATCAGCAGGGGATCAAATACTTATTTCCTTCACTGTAGCCCCATTCCTATTACACTACACCACCTAGAGACACTATAAACGTTCACCAATACCACACTTACGTAATGCAGCCAAATACCTAATTCACCAGCAGTGTAAGTCACAACACCCACCTACCTCTCGCAAGTGGCTATCCTGGATAAATTCAATCTACACCAAGATAATCACATAAGTCAAGATAACAGTATGCTTCCTCCAGACTTGAACCAGGTGGCATCTTCAGATTTAGAATAGTTTATTAATACCAAAGGGACGTTGTTAAATATACACTTCTACAGATAATGTTCCTGCCTCTAACCTTCGAAACCAGACCTACCACAAGCTTTTGCTTGGCAGAGGCCAATATACTTCTTACCCGACACTTGAGGTAGAATGTCACACAACCTTTGCACAGATTCTTACAGGCGTACTTGATGGGATGCACTGAACTCCACCACCTTCCCTGGAGCCTCTCCCATATACTCTGACCCACTCAATGACTACTCCGCCATCCCTCCCTCTAAAATTACCACAACTACATACCCTGAATTCCCAATACAGCCATCCGCATCATTAGAATTCCCCACCACCCCCTCCTTTTCCCACATACCCCAATATCTATGTCCCCCAGATGTCAAACCCCCTTATCTACATAGATAACCAGATTTTCCCCAGCAGACTGACACTCAACTTAAACTGTAAGCTCCCTTTGTTGGGCCTCAACTAAAGAGCCTGGTGTGGTGGGAGTAAGGGAACTTGTTACGTCTGACTCCATGGAACAGATTTTTACCTTTCTTCCAAGTCTTCCTACAATTACCAAATGTAACATCTGGGATAAAAACTGTACTGTTGCAAAAAGAGAGAAAAAAAAAAAGAAAAAAAGAAGACTTACGCTGGCCGGTCTTCCAGTATTAGAGCTGTGGTGGACAGTGGCTCAAACACCAAGCTTTTCCTCACATTCTGCTTTGGAGAAGGAGACTTCGAAGCTCGTCCTACTCTCTCTTCATATTCCTGGTAAGCAGATAAACAAAAGTGATTGCAGTCACTCTTTGATGGGAGTATGTACCTTTTTCACTCAGCAACAGAAATCACACACCCATAGTATGCTGTATGATCATACTTACAACAGTGTGGAACTAAAGGTTTGCTAGAATATTGCAAACATAGCATCTCAGGGCAAAATGAAAACAATCTATATGGTACATCTCTGGAATACATGCATTTCCCTCCATGATTTATTCCTTTAAAAAGACCCTGAAAGTACAGAAAACCATCTATTGGTCTGCCAGCAATGCATTCAGGTACTATTGTGGGTTGACAACACATAGCATTTTTGTGACCTGAAGGGTGTCACCCGTCAACCCCGCCTAGTTCTTTTGTTGCTAAACATGGTGCTAATTAGGTTCCTTGAGGTAACAGTAAGGAAGAGAAGACAGGGCAGTTCTGAATTTCTGATATAACAGATTTGGGTTTTTTTTTGCATTTATCAAAGCCATATAACAAAACACTTCCAATTGTATATCTAACAAAAAAAAAGGATACATTAAAAAACAGAAAGAATTATACAGTAGCAAATCGAAGTTCATTGATGGGGTCCACATACACTGAGTTATAGCTTAAAAAAAATATAAAATAAAAAAATAAAACAAGGCTTCTTCTGTAATAGAAGCTTCTTACTTTATTGCTCACAAGTTTCTTATAGAATATATAAATTAGCAAGAACAGCTCTGTGTACAGTTGCAAGAAAAAGTATGTGAACCCCTTGGGATTACGTGGAGTTTTGCATGAATTGGGCATAAAATGTGCTCTGAACGTCATCTAAATCACAACAATAGAAGAACACCGTCTGCTGAACATAATACTACACAAAAACATTAGATGTTGCCATGGTTTAATTGCACATAACATGTAAACATTCACAGTGCAGGGAGGAAAAAGTATGTGAACCTTTGGACTTAACTGGTTGACCCTCCTTTGGCAGCAATAACCTCAACCAAATGTTTCCTGTAGTTGCAGATCAGACCTGCACAACGATCTGGAGTAATTTTTAGACCACTCCTCTTCACAAAACTGTTTCAGTGTAGCAATATTCTTGGGATGTCTGGTGTGAATCGCTCTCTGAAGGTCATGCCACAGCATTTCAATCGGGTTGAGGTCCGGACTCTGACTGGGCCACTCCAGAAGGCGTATTCTGTGCTGTTGCAGCCATTGTTTTGTTGAATTACTTGTATGTTTTGGGTCATTGTCCTGTTGCATCACCCATCCTCTGCGGAGCTTCAGTTGGCGGACAGATGGTCGTACGTTTTCCTGCAAAATGTCTTGATAAACTCTGGAATTCATTTTCCCATCAATGACAACAATCCGTCCAGGCCCTGAGGCAGCAAAGCAGCCCCAAACCATGATGCTCCCTCCGCCATGTTTTACAGTGGGGATGAGGTTTTGATGTTGGTGTGCTGTGCCTTTTTTCTCCACACATAGTGTTGTGTGTTCTTCCCAAACAACTCAATCTTGGTTTCATCTGTCCACAGTATATTTTGCCAGTAGTGCTGTGGAACATCCAGGTGCTCTTTTGCAAACTTCAAACATGCTGCAATATTCTTTTTGGACAGCAATGGCTTCCTCCGTGGTGTCCTCCCATGTACTCCATTCTTGTTTCATGTTTTCCTTATTGTAGATGTGTCAACAAAAATGTTAGCATGTGCCAGAGATTTCTGTAGGTCTTTAGCTGACACTCTGGGATTCTTCTTTACCTCATGCAGCATTCTGCGCTGTGCTCTTGCAGTCATTTTTACAGGATGACCACGCCTAGGGAGAGTAGCAGCAGTGCTAAACTTTCTCCATTTGTAGACAGTCTGTCTTACCGTGGACACATGAACATCAAGGCTTTTGGAGATACTTTTGTAACCCTTTCCAGCTTCATGCAAGTCAACAATTCTTGATCGTAGGTCTTCTGAGAGCTCTTTTCTTCGAGGCATGGTTCACATCAGACAGTGCTTCTTGAAACCAGTAAACCCAAAACAGGTGTGTGTTTTTTAATGGCAGGACAGCTGTCAGCAACACATCCAATATCCTCACACTGATTGGAGTCAAGGTTGGCTCACTCCTGGCTCCAATTAGCTCTGGGAGAAGTCATTAAGCTAGGGCCTCACATATTTTTTCCTCCCTGCACTGTGAATGTTTACATGTTATGTGCAATTAAACCATGGCAACATCTAATGTTTGTGTAGTATTATGTTCAGCAGACTGTGTTCTTCTATTGTTGTGACTTAGATGACATTCAGAGCACATTTTATGCCCAATTCATGCAAAACTCCACGTAATCCCAAGGGGTTCACATACTTTTTCTTGCAACTGTACATTCTTGGCATGCTTTTGTGCTGGGATGAATAGACTCTCAAGCGCATGCTCAGGAGTTAAGTCATTTACAGGCTGGTCATTCTAGATGGCTGTTGCCCACCCCAGATGAAGATTGGGTAAAGATAGCATCAGCAAGGGAGCTTTCTGGAAGAGTTCTTCTGGTCAGCATGAGGAACATTTTGGGCTTTATCCATAAACCATGTCTGAGGGAAAATCATTTGCAACTTTGGTTGGCATTAATTGATGCAGCTGATTTTAATACACTATTGTTTCTAGATTTAAAATATGTTGGCAAATAAAACAAATTGCCTTTATTTTAAATCAAAAAAGGGAACTACACAGAAGAGGAACCTTTTGTTTACAGCATGGCATGTATATCCTCCATCACAGTGCTACACATTACTCTCTGGGTTTTTCTCACAGGTTTATGGCTTACTACAAGGCTGGATACAGTGAAGGAACTAAGTATTTGATCCCCTCCTGATTTTCAACGTTTGCCCACTGACAAAAAAATTATCAGTCTAAAAATCGAATGGTAGATGTAACAATGAGAGACAGAATAGCAACAACAAATTCGAAAGAAATGCATGTCTAACAAATTATACACAGATTTGCATGTTCATGAGGGAAATAAGTATTTGATCCTCTTCACAAAACAGGACTTGGCAAATCCTGTGTTGGCAATCACAGAGGTCAGACGTTTCCTGTAGTTGGCAACCAGGTTTGCAAACATCTCAGGAGGGATTTTGGCCCACTCCTCTTGGCAGATCCTCACCAAGTCATTAAGGTTTGGTGGCTGACGTTTGGCAACTCAAACTTTGAGCTCCCTTCACAGATTTTCAAATCGGATTAAGGTCTGGAGACTGGCTAGGCCGCTCCAGGACCTTAATGTGCTTCTTCTTGAGCCACTCTGTTTCCTTGTCCGTGTGTTTTGGGTCATTGTCATGCTGGAACACCCATCCACGACCCACTTTCAATGCCCTGGTTAACGGAAAAAGGTGCTCACCAAAGATTTGATGGTACATTGCCCCGTCCATCGTCCCTTTGATGCGGTGCAGTTGTCCTCTCCCCTTAGCATAAAAAAAAAACCCAAAGCAGAATGTTTCCACCACCATGTTTGACAGTTGGGATGGTGTTCTTGGGGTCATAGGCAGTATTCCTCCTCCTCCAAACATGGCGAGTTGATGCCAAAGAGCTCGATTTTGGTCTCATCTGACCACAACACTTTCAACCAGTCCTCCTCTGCATCATTCAGATGTTCAGTGGCAAACTTCAGACGGGCCTGGACATGTGCTTTCTTGAGCAAAGGGACCTTGCGGGCACTGCAGGATTTCAATCCTTGTCGGAGTAGTGTGTCACCAATTTTCTTGGCGATTGTGATCCCAGCTGCCTGGAGCTCATTGACAAGATCCTCACGTGTAGTTCTGGTATGATTCCTCACTGTTCTCATGATCATGGACACTCCACGAGGTGAGATCTTGCATGGTGCACCAGACCTAGGGAGACTGACAGTTGTTTTGGGTTTCTTCCATTTGCGAATGATTGCACAGACTGTTTTCACCATCTCACCAAGCTGTTTGGCGATAGTTTGGTAGCCCAATCCAGCCTTGTGTAGGTCTACAATCTTGTCCCCGGCATCCTTGGACAGCTCTTTGCCATGGTGTTACAATACACCTACCATTCAATTTTTAGACTGATCATTTCTATGGGAGTGGGCAAACATTCATAATCAGCAGGGGATCAAATACTTAGTTCCTTCACTGTATGCTAGTTTAATAAGACAGGGTTAACCTACACCCATCTTCTTACTTTCCTTTTCTTCCACTTTCCTTGAATGCCAGGTCTACAATCAACTGAGCGACCATCTTACTGAGAACAAGCTTGTTGACCTCCTTCAAATTGCTCTCCCTAAAACACACAAACCATCTAACAGCAGCTAAAACCAATGGACATTATTCTGTACTCCTACTCCTGGACCACTCTGCTGCCTTTGACACAGTGGACAACCCCCTTCTCAAACAAAACCCAAAAAAAAAAACCAAAAAAAAAAAAAACCTCTAGTTCTTCACGACTGTACTCTTTGCTGGTTTCCATCCTACATATCCCACCACATCTTCAGTGTCACTTACAGTTCTACTTCCTCTTCCTTTCTCTATTGGGGTTCCCCAAGGTTCTGTTCTTTGGCCTCTTCCATTTTTGATCTACACCACCTACCTGGGTCAGTTGATTGCCTCCCATGGCTTTAAATACCATTTCTATGCTGATGACACCCAAATCATCTCTCTACCCCTCAGCTGGTCTCAAAATACCAATCAAATCGATATCTTTATTCCTCCCAAGATCTCCTGCTCTCTAGCATCTTTGTCACCTCCTCCCATGCTTGCCTCCAGGACTTCTCCTTTCCCATCTTCTGGAACTCCCTAGCCCAATGTGTCCAGCTATCTCTTACACGGTCCACTTTTAAGCGATCCCTGAAAACTCATCTCTTCAGGGAGGCCTATCCTGCCCGACCTAACAAGTGTACATATATTTTTTTCCATCAGCCCATCCCCATATCTGGCCCTTGGGGCATTATTCCACCAATGACGTAGCATTAATCCCCCTACTTACACCATCAATGGTCCCTGTTAACGGGGAGCTTTTCCTCCCATTAAAAGCAATGATGGCACTGATGCCGTGGCATATTCTACTCCCACTGGCCACAGCCCGACCCCACTAAAGCCTGAAGCACAGTAAACTGGCCCTTTGCTTAGAAAGTTTGGAGACCCCTGCCCTAGAAGTTATTGTATCTCTTGTACTGAAGTCAACAGGTTTGAGATGGCTGCATGCAATATGCATGAATGGCTCAATTATTAAAGTAAATGTTAAAACAATGAATCTCTCTCATCAGCCCCCCTTTGGTCTGTTTAACCAATTCACTTCCGGAATGTTTTACCCCCTTCATGACCGGGTCATTTTATTTCAACATTGTGCTACTTTAATTGACAATTACCCAGTCATCCAACGCTGTACCCAAATTAAATTTATATCATTTTTTTTCATACAGAGTTCTCCCTTGGTGGTATTTTTTTCATCACATGGGGGACACAAAGTCGCTGTTACTGGGGGGTGTGGAAGCAAACTAGTGGCAGCACAGTCACCCGGCTGCTTCCACCTAACAGAAGTCTGCCTGTCAGTTTTATACACAGTTCCGGTGGTTATGTGATCCTGTGTGGTCGTGTACTGTGTTCAGTCAGCAATCGTTTAGTATACAATTAAAAATATTTTTGTTAAATCTTTAATAAGTGCAAAACATATCTGTTGAGCCTTCCAAAATATCTTCCTATGTTCTTTGCATGTGTTGTACTGTTATCAGTAAGCATTGTTCCCAGTTATCTGTGTACTACAGAACACCTCTCCCTATCTTATGGAGAGGAAAAGGAGGAGGAAAGGGGAGGGAATCATACTATAGGGCGACAACTGTAATACTGTTCTGTAAATACAGTGCAGTGAGCGAGTACTGTCAACTTGGAACAGGAGGTGTGTGCTACTCACAGGATCACCATGTGAAAGTAAAATGAAGCCTTAAGAAAGTCATTACAGGCACCACATTTGAGGATTAGTAAGCTGCAATATATAACAGTTTTGTGCTTACACTTTAATGAGTATTATATGTAGGCACAAATCTATTTTTCACGTTTAAGAAATTCCTGGAAAAACTTTATCCAAAAGGATATATTTAATTGTGTGGTCGCTGGCGCTCAAATTCCAATGCCTTTTACACCAATCAGCAATAACGTTATGACCACTCACCTAATACTGAGTAGGTCCCCATTTTGCCCCACTTTTGATACCAAAACAGCCGTGACCTGTCAAGGTATGAAGTCTACTACACCTCTGAAGGTATGCTGTGGTATATGGCACCAATCCATCAGTAGCAGATCCTGTAAGTTGATCTCAATTTGTGGAATGGCTGGAAAAAACATGTTTGATCCATGAAGAATTTGGAGGTCAAGTCAACACCTTAACCACTTGCCTACCGGGCACTTATACCCCCTTCCTGCTCAGGCCAATTTTCATATTTCAGCGCTGTCGCACTTTGAATGACGATTGCGCGGTCATGCATCACTGTACCCATATGAAAATGTTATCATTTTTCTGAGACAGATAGAGCTTTCTTTTGGTGGTATTTAATCACCTCTGGGTTTTTTATTTTTTGCTAAACAAACCAAAAACTGAAAATTTAGAGAAAAAAAAAAAAAAAAACTTTCTTCGTTTGTTATAAAAATGTGTAAAATAAGCAAGTTTTCTCCTTCATTGATGTGCGCTAATGAGGCTGCAGTGATGGGCACTGAGGAGGCACTGGTAGGTGGCACTGCTGGGCATTGACAGGCATCACTGCTGGGCACTGAAAGGCAGCACTCCTATGGCACTGATAGGTGGCACCGATAAGCAGCATTGATGCGCACTGACTGTCACTGAACGGCAGCTCAGATGGGCACTGATATGTGGCATTGATGTGCACTGGTAGGCACTGATATATGGCATTGATGTGGCACTGCTGGGCAATGACAGGTGGCACTGCTGGGGCTACACTGATCATCAGGGCACACTGATGATCCATGTACATGTCCCCTCTGGGTAATGCCGATTACAGTCTCTCCTCTCCTCGAGCTTTCAGTGTGACAGCCCGTGAGGAGAGAAATGTAAATAACCGGCATTTCCTTATTTACATGCGATCAGCTGTGATTGGACACAGCTGATCACATGATAGAGCTGACGTCTTCGGATCTTTCCGTTGATCCGCTGTGTCCCAGGGACACAGCTCACCACCAATCGCTGTGTTGCGTGCTCCCAGGGGGCATGCATGCGTGGTTAGAGTCGGAGGATGTCATATGACATCCTCCCAGAAACCAGAGAACCTCCTTGCGCCCGTCATTTCCTTATATGGCGGGCAGGAGGCGGTTAAAAACATTGCTGTGTTCCTCAAAGTATTCTTGAACCATTTTTTGCAGTGTGGCAGGGTGAATTATGCTGATGAAAGAGGCCTTTCCATCAGAAAATACAACCAACCCACTACCACCAAGACCGAACAAATCAAGTATGTGATGCACTGTGTGTTCTAACACCTTTCTATCAGAAACCGCATTAACGTGTTTTCAGCAATTTTAGCTACAGTAGCTCTTCTACCGGATTGGACTACACTGGCCAGCCTTTGCTCCCCATGTGCATCAATGAGCTTCGGCCAGCCAAGACTGTCATCGGTTTACCCGTTTTCCTTCCTTGGATCAGTTTCGGTAGGTTCAGTCCACTGCAGACCCAGAAAATCCCATAAGAGCTGCTGTTATGGAGTTGCTCTGACCCAGTCATCTACCCATTACAATTTCACCCTTATCAAAGTCCATCAAATCCTTATGCTTGCCTATTTTTTTTCTGCTTTAAAACACATCAACTTCAGGAACAACATGTTCACTTGCTGCCCAATATATCCCACTCACTTTCAGACGCCAATGTAGTGAGATACACAATGTTATTCACTTTACCTGGCAGTGGTCATTATGTTATGGCTGATGGGTGTATGTCTCAAAGCCTCCATTGGCAAGGTATCCCCACCACAACTTGCGGCTTCATTCAATTGCTGAGGATATGACACAGCCAAATGATGCAGTTTGCTTCCTTTCATTGCTTCTCCATAATATTAGAGAATATAAGGATTCCAGCAATGAGAGGATTCACCAACATCATGACCCTTTGGGAGGGGCAGGAACACAAACTACTGCAGGGACATCTTGCCATTGCAATCTTTTACAGAGGACAAAAGCCATCTCTTTAAGATTACCCACAGGTGCCCACCCAAAAACTTTAATGTCATTTCTAAGTGGATTACTTGCAACTCAATTCAAAATCAGCAGAAAAGGCACCACTTTGGGAGGCTAAAAAAACCCTAAAAATGTTTTTCAAAACTTTCTCTTGCTTCCGTCTAGAGAACACACGGGGCTGACAGTCAGTCGCAAATACGTGCATAATTGTCAGGTTATATATAGAACATATTTATATAATAAGCATGAAGATTGTATTGGTGTGCCTTTTTTTTTTTTTTTTTTTGTTAGCTTAATTAGCAAGAAACAAGTTTCCAATGATTCAGCTTTGTAAGGCAGCCCATAAAACACCCAGAGAACAAAAATATGCATTATTTTTATGCGTCACTTGGCTAACTACAGAAAACGCAACAAATGAGTAACACACCCAGAAAAAAAAAAAATATGCAAGCAACATATTCAAATCTCATGGAAAACACACTAAACCGCATATGAATAATACAACTGTATGTTTAAAAGAAGAGTTCATCAGATCTAAACTAAAGCATTCGCAGAATCAATGTTGAGATTTTTCATAATTAATCTCATCTCATACAGTCTTACATACTGTAAACAAAAAGATAAACAAAAAGATATCCAACATAAAACAAAGTAATTCTTGTAAGTTGAATCCACAGGAAAAATACATGCAATATTTAAATATAGTGAAATATTAGACGATAGTAAAAGTAATGTATGCAATAAACACACCCATGCATAGAGCAAGGATGGGAGATGTATGGGAGAAGTGTATGGAGATCGTATGCATTTACATCCCACAAGGTCACCAGGAATAATGGGATCCTACACTTGGCAAGGCTACTACATGCACTGTCCTATGGCAAGGGTTCTTCCTAGCAAGTATTATGGAAAGCAAGGCATTCCGGTGATGCTGCACATTTGGTACTCACCATGAAAGCTGCAATTCCTCAGAGACACAGAATCTGCTGCCCCATCCTGACTTGCATCACACATCAGGGCCCTGTGGCTGCAGAGTACCAGCCTGCAGCTTCCATACAGCAGGGAAGCCCAGCCTGCTAGCACAACATGCCTGGATGATGCCGGGTTTCCCTCAGAGGGCCATCACGTGCATCTCTGCTGTCAGCTCCTTTCTTCAAGGAGCACCGAGGGCTGGGACATGGCAGGGCTGGCTGCAACAGCCATTTCAATCAGCTGCAGATGGAATACACCCAATCAACACAATCCAGCCTCCGCTCTCATGCCTTGCTACAGCATGTAATGAGAGCAGCATCAATAGCAGCCTGTGTCTCTCTGGGCTCAGGTTTCCTCCTGGATGCTCATTACCCCTCCCAAGTCTCTGCATAACTTTTACCAGCATTGCCTGATAAAGCACTGAAAATGGAAAATACCTTGTGGGAATTTAATAAAAAAAAAAAAAGCTGGAGCAGCTGTGCATGGCAACCAATCAGCTTCTAGCTTATATATTTAAAGCTCAATTGAACAAACTGAAGATAGAAACTGACTGGTTGGCATGCACAGCTGCTCAATAGTCTGTCCCAGTTCTGATAAATGCTCTTCATTGTAGTTTATAATATTCCAGCATGTAACCAACGCTGAGGATACAAGATCCCATATTAAGCCATTCATTTAGAAACAAAGTAAACAATTCTACAATAAGGTTTTTTTTCCCCTCTGTGTCCTGTTGATGTTTTCCTTCATCTTTTGAATTGGACATAACAGAGAGGAAATCTCTCCAAAAGCAGACAACCCCCCTCTCTGACAGTTGCCACTGAAACAGCATCCCCATTGGAAGAGTCCCCCCCACTCCCATTCCAGTGACAATTCAAATATTGAATTTTCCATTACTTTCTGTTCTGGTGATAAATAGTGATCTCCCTAGTTGGGTCACTGACAGCAATAAAAAAAAAAAACAAAAAAAAAAAAAAAAAACTTTTAAAATAATTAGAGACAGTCCATTTTACTGTAACTACTGTTTCTTGAAAATTAAAAAAAAAATGTATGTAAAAAATAATGAAATGGTATCATACTATATGCACTTATTGTATTGGTGATATCTGCCTGATGCGAGATGTAATTTGAAGGATGTGAGCTACTTTCCAGATTAGATGCCTGTGGTTGGATTTATACATGAGACCTCCCTAACATTTGGATGTCCTAAATTCTGGTGAGTTTTATTCCATAGGTGGTAGGCATGGCATTGTGTGACAAAACTGGAAGGATTTTGAAGAGCGGTGTCAACAATTTATTCATTTATATCACAAGGCACTGGGAGTTTGGGCTTTTCAAACCATTTTCGACTTTAATTTTCTCCACATTCTCTGGGCTTTTCAAACCATTTTCGACTTTAATTTTCTCCACATTCTCTCGTCTTGACTACTGCAACTCCCTCCTCACTGGCTTACCTTTGTATAGGCTATCCCCCCTCCAGTCTATCATGAATATTGCTGCCAGACTCATCTACTTTAACAGGCGTTCAGTGTCTGCTACCCCTCTCTGCCCATCCCTCCACTGGCTCCCACTCACCCAACAAATAAAATTCAAGATACTTACAGCAACTTACAAAGCCATCCACAACTCAGTCCCTAGCTACATCGCTAACCTAGTCTCAAAATACCAACCAAATCGTTCTCTTCATTCCTCCCAAGTCCTTCTGCTCTCTAGCTCCCTTGTCACCGCCTCCAGGATTTCTCCAGAGCAGCTCCCATCCTCTGGAACTCCCTTCCCCAATGTGTCAGTCTATCTCCATCTCTGTTCACTTTTAAACGATCCCTGAAAACTCATCTTTTCAGAGAGGCTTATCCTGCCCCCACCTAACAACTGTACATGTATTTTGTCCATCAGCCCATCCCCCCAGTTATCACCTTTTGTATCTCTCGACCCTCCCTCTTAGATTGTAAGCTCTAAAAGGAGCAGGGCCCTCTGAATCCTCCTGTATTCAATTTGTATTGTACCATTTGCACCCTTGCATTGTAAAGCGATGCATAAACTGTTGGCACTATATAAATCCTGTATAACAACATATATACATTTTACATTAAAATGAGTATTATTTAGATTTGTAGATGGTCACTACAAGGCTCCATGCACACTAGTTTTTTTTTTACGCTCCTAGAAGCTGTTATTAGCATTTTCTTTTCTGCTCCTAGATGCTAAATGGTGTTAACCTATGTGTCCATGCACACTACTTTTAGGCTATTAGCATTTTTTTAGCTTCAGTGTCTAGGAGCAGAAAAAAAAAAAAAAAAAAAAAAAAAATTTGTAGAGATTTTTTAAATGCTCCTAAACACTCCTAACTGCTACTAAAACACTCCTAATAGTTTTTTTTTCATCTTTACATGTTCTGTAAAAACGCTGATAAAAAACGGCTAAATGCACCTAAATGCTTCTGAACGCTACTAAAAAAACTGCTACCATCAGCAGTTTTTATACAGCATTTTTTGAGCTTAACATAAAAAAAAACAAAAAAAAAAAAAGCTAGTGTGCACAGAGCCTTTGGGCTTTTGTTTGAGCTGCTAACTGCACATCTGAGAGATATATAGGGACTGATGAATGCAAGTAAAAGTCCAGATGTGTGGTTATCGTAATATAGCTGCAACTTGCCATTGATTTGTACAGGAGACTGTATTCAACATCTACTGTTTGACTTCCAGGCACAGAAACATTTGTATTTTTTTCACAGGATGTATGGTCATCTACACTCAAGTGAATTAACCCTGTATGACGGACCCATTAAGAAAAAACATACTTACCTCTAATGCCCGCACCACCAATCCTGAGGAATCCTCCGCTGAAATCTTCTGAGGGAACTAACACTTCTAGAAGTGTCAATCACCTGGTTCTTGCTGTTGATCACAAGGTTATTACCATGACCCATATTGACATGGAGGTCAACGGGAGGTAAGAATGAGCAGTTTACGAGTGTGGGGGCCAGTCTATGAAGGTCTTTTTTAATTTTAATCTTATGTATGTTTATATTCAGGAACAAAATAACATGCTAAGAGTACATGCAACAGTCATCTTTTATCCAGTGTTCTATGTTATCACAACTCCATATGCTGAGGCTTTTGGCTGGACTGCTTGGTGAGAAAAATATAAAAGGCATGTAAAAATATAATTTAAAATATGTACTATAATTCTAGTTATTAACCACAATATCATTTTTCCAGTATTGTGTGACATTTACACAGAGCCAAAAATTACATCTGTCTGAAGACTAAAAAGGTGAATAACCTATAAAAGGCCCAGTGACAGCCCTATCTCAGTCAATTTGAGACCCTGTTGTCCCATTTGAAAATGTATCAAAGTTTCATGATCGGGGAAAAAAAAAAAACAAAAAAAAAAAAAAAACCTTAATTTTGTAAAGCACTACACAAACTGTTGGCGCTATATAAATCCTGTATAATAATAATAATAATAATAATAATAATAATAAATAATAATGTGAAGAACAGCATCTCAATAAACAATAGTTCAAATACATTTGTTTAGCTCAAGATTAAACAGAAGCCAAAATTCTCTTTATACATAAAAGCTACAAAGTATGAGAGAAGGCTTTCAGATTAATTAAATTGCTTCCAAGCATTAAAAATCAGCATTCTAATGCCATTCAGGGAAACTTCAACTAAAATACAAAAATTGGAAAGTCAGCTCCATTTGTGTTTTTTTTAAATCAACTGTGGTTTTGATGAGCTTCCATGTGTTGGGTGGTGTAGACCCCTTGTTGCCACATGATTCTTTGTTGTGCAACTTCCCTCTAAGACAGCAAAGTACACAGTCTGCACATTCAACTGACTCAGCAGTTTTCGATCCCAGAGTACCACGATATTAGAAACAAAGTCATGTCAAACCAGGGTATGCAAAAATAATTTCAAGGTTTGTGCAACTTACATTGACATAAAGCATCAGCAAGTCACAATAAAGTCGCACTGAACAGTCAGCTTTGAAGTTGCACTGATTTAGTAGCATGATTTCAAAGCTGCACTTTTTTTTTTCCCTCTTTCTTACTTTGATGCATTCCCTGCATTAAAGTAAAAAACATTTTGACACTTTCTGTGCACACTCCCAGCCCACCCAATAAAAAAACAAAAAAAAAAAAACAAACTTCCCTGAACTCTGTATCAATCCAGCGCTGTATGCATCTGTAGAAGTTCTCCCCTGGCTTTGCCCTCTCACAGGAGGATCGGGTAGCAGCGAGAGCAATTGGATCTTGCTGCTGTTAATCAAATCCTGTGAGCAGGGAGCACGGCTTTGGAGCAAGCCTGCAGGTCTTCCCCCATAGAAAAGGGCTTGTTAAGGGAGCAGACACAGAGGAGGAGAAGAAGACAGTGCCAGACGGGGATCCCCAGAAGGAGAAGTTCGGAGCAGCTCTGTGCAATACCATTGCACAGAGCAGGTGAGTATAACAGGTTTGTTTTTTTTAATAAAAAAGAAAAAAAAATGTCTGTAGAACTGCTTTAATGTATTCTGCTTGGTGCTGCCACCCTGGATATAATGTCAGCAGCTGCAGTGGATCGGTCACTGACGTAACATTCTTGTATTCCCATTTGCTGCATAAGAGGTTATGTAGGGTATGCGGATTGCACTCTCATATCTCACCCTGTGCAAAGATGTTCCTGCTCTGGGACTACAATCAAAGCACCAGCAGACTAACAGTGTTATTGGATCAAGTTACTTCAACAATTAACCCCTTACATTCAGTTGCACCACTCCAGCATATGCTGTTGCAATGTTTTCAGAGACCAAGGATTTCCTTGGATTAGAGATGAGGGTTAAAAAACCCATGAAAATGGCTGTCCAAATTGCATCATTATCGCATGTACATATGATTTATGTACATTTCCATTGAAGTCTATGGGGCCAAAAATCACACCAAAGTAGTACAGGAAACTTTACCAAAATCATTCTCTGCTCCATTGAAAACCATATGATTTCCATTGCCATGCGACTCTTTGTGAATCAAGTCGCATCTGAAATTGCACCAGTGTGAACCAGGTTCAACTAGCGCGGATAGAGAAATCTTTCCTGCCAGCTATAGCAGTTGTCTGAACACCTGAACAACA